TACTTCTGACTATTGCTGTGAGGGGCAAAGGCTAGTCACACTTTAACTTCGTTTTCTTTTCTACGGCAAAACAGTAACAATTCAAAGTGCAACAGAAGAGTTAAACCTAGTTAGCCACTGTCAGATATAAATTCTACTTAGCAAAGACTCTTGCAAAACTCCGTAAAAAGAAAAAATGCAGTGCCGGCTAATAAAAGTTTAAAAACACAACATTAAGACTAATTCTCTTATGTTTATATCATAGATATTCATTTGGAGGGTGTATTAAAAACAGTTCATCCAATTTGAATTGCTGGTTAACTTAGGGCATGTCTACACGTCACCCTATGGCAATGTTGTTACTACGTCATGCTTTAGTACTTCCTTCTGGAAGTACTAAAGTACGGCACAGTAATTGCCTGTACTGCATTGTGCATACGGCACAGTTATTTTTCACTGCTACTTCACCATAGCAGTGTGCAAAAATGAGGGAACATGCTACTATGCTAAAATAGCTGCTGATCACGTGTAGACCCATGTGATAACTACATCGCTGTAGCAATGCACTACAGTGGTGTAGCATGTCACTTCAGCAACATAGCACACCACTACAGTGTTATAGGGTGACGTGTACACACACCCTTACAGTTGCTACAGTGGGTATGTATAGTGAAGATGGCTGATTAGGCCAACCCAGGATTGACACACTGCTGCAGCACAGGCACATGTTTCCATGTGGAGTGGGTAGCTCCCAATTCTTGATTTGGTCCATGACACTGCTGCTGCTGTTCCTGCTTTTCTGTCTCTTGTTGTTGTCATAAGATTTCAAAGTACTGAGATCCTTGCAACAGACTCTTCCTCCATTTGGGACAGTCCTCAGCTATAGTCTGCCACAAATTGATGTTGATGTTGCATTTTTTTAGCTGGCCTTGAGGAAGTGCTTTCTCTGTCTTCTTGACTGTATGCCTTGACAAGCTGGGAGAATACAACTTGCTTTGGGAGTGTGCAGTTGGACATCCAGATGACATGGCCAGCCCACTGAAGTTTATGTCAGATGACCATCAACTTGATGCTCGTAGTGTTTTTGCTTGTGAGAGGATACTAAAGTTGGTGCATCTATCTTTCCACTGGATTTGAAGGGTCATCTGCAGGCAGTGTTGATGGTACTTCTCCAGTGACTTGAGGTGCCTTCTGTACATTGTCCGCATCTCAGCTCCAGATGGTAAGGTGGTGAGCACAACTGCATGATAAACCAAGAGCTTGGTTTTGGATCTGATGTCACAATCTTCAAACACCCATTTCATCCCGTGTCAAAGGCGACACTTGCACATTTGAGGTGAAGTTGGATTTCTTCATGGATGTCAGCCTTCTGATAGAGATGGCTTCTGAGGTAGAGAAAATAATGCTTTCCAGAGTCTCATCAAGAATCTGAATTACCAGAGCTGGGGACTATTTATTAAGAGCTTGTTGATGGAGGACCTTTGGTCTTTCTTAATGCAGCAACTTCGATATTGTGTCACCTGAGTGCTTGAGTCACGACTGTGGTGTGGCGCTCTGGGCGTTCGCTGTTAGGATAGTCCATGATGGTCCTGATGTTCTGGTGGCAGAGCTTTACTGGTACCTAGCATGTCCATGGGTGGTAGATAGAGGAATGATCTTCAGGGAAGGTTAGCAAAGGTAACTGATAAATAAGCAGTTGTGGAGTCGGACCAAGCAGCAGCAGTAGCACCAGAATGCAGTGGGGAAAGCAATGCTTTCCTTCCTGAAGAGCCACAGGTATCTTTGATGGTGCTGTGACACAGCGAGTACAGGTCGCCACTATAATAAGCCTGCCTGCCCCCAGCCATGGGTCTACAAGTCTTCAACAGTGGAGCAAGCAGATGTTAGACTCTTGACAGCTGTGAAGGTTGATGAAGGCTTTAGTGAAATGAGATTTGCAAATGTCTTGGCTTCCTTGCTATTGGTTTTAAACTTCCATTTTGTTAAGAGCCACGTGGGAGCTGATGTACAGTAGTTTCTTCATGATAAAAGAAATCACGCACAGGCGTGTTCCATGAAAACAGATTTCCAGCATATTTTTCAAGCCTTCTGGTGACCAGCTACTGATGATGGGCAAGATTGTGAGGTTTGGAAGTTCCTAATCATAAACTGGTACAAAGTCAGCAGTTTCTAGAAGGTTGTCTAACACTTGGATGAGGCAGGAGTGCAATTTGGCCACTGTAACTGCAACTGAACAGCCCCCTTCAGGATCTGCTCTGCTCATCCCACCTGGGGAAGGGGCTAGAAAAGGCTCCCTAAACATAACCGGTCTATCTTCGTCTTCACTGGATAACCACATCCAGTGAATCACCTTTACTGTGCTCAAAATCAATGAGGACACACAATCAATTTTGGGACCTGGAACATCAGTGTATGTATACATTTTTAAAAGAAATTACATGGAATTTTGGCAATACGCGCACATTTTACTTCAAATATAGTTAAATTTTATCTATGTAAATTTATTAGTTTTGAGAATAAATGCTTGCAACATTAATACAGGGGTGTAGGTTGTACAAACCCTGACAAAGGGTTTTGGAACCAGAAAGCTTGCTTCAAAATTGTTCTCCAACTATTTAAGTTGGCCTAATAAAAGATATCAGATTCACCCAAAGAACCTTGTCTGCAACATTAATATAATTTTTATTTAATTTATTTATATAGGTAGGAAGACCTTGAATGACGAGAAGTATTGGTTTGGTTCACAGACATATTTATTATTACAAAATAAATGGAGAGTGTTGTTGAGACATGATGTGCTCTACAGAATGCAAACAAGTCAGTCATGTTCTGCACACAAAAGGTGAGGGTATGGGAAGGAATACTAATGAAAGATAGTTATTCATCTTCTCTCCCAGGATTGTGGCATTAGATAGGTCTAAACTCTTGCTGTCCCACATGAAAATTACTGTCGTTCTCAGCTAAGCCTAGTGTTGGATGAGCAGAACTGTTAAGAGATGAAGAAGGAGGTTCAGTCAGAAGGTTATAAGGGAAAGGAGACAATAGAGATTGGAATGGGACCTAGGCAGTTCTGCCAGTTTGGCTGTCGGGTGAGGAAGAAAGCAATAAGCGTTGTAGTAGTAGTGTGTGGAGCAGAAAGCTTCTGCAGTGGTGGAACATATTGTGACACACTGGAGATAAGCAACAGAACGTGAAGGAGACACAAGTGAGTTGAGTTCATGTAGAGGTAAGCAAGAAAGACTTGGCAGAGCCATGAAAAAGGGAGCAACCAGGTGATTTATGCAGCTAATTCACCAAATCTGTTGAAACAGTCAAATATTATTCAACTGGCTCTAAATGAGAAAGTTGATCTTGATGCAGAAGACAAGAAAAAATGGAAATATACATTAACCATCCAGTCTTTTGAGGTGACAGCGATGAATGTTCTCTGTAGAGGTGTGCCCAATAAAATAGAGGTATGAAAGCGTGAGTAGCTTCCACAGAGTGATTTCTCTACATATTTCAATGTCTTCATAATGCATAATTCTTCTTTTTTAATCCCACTGTTCACAATGCTTCCATTTCTGTGAAGTATAATAGGCTGCTAAATCACACCATGCATATTAGTTTCTTCCAATCATTTCCAAGCAGCCAATATTTTTACCTTTTCAGCTTGCAGAGAGCACACATTTCTATGGAATTAATTTTATCCCAGGGACATTTTGGGAGGCCAGATTATTACCATCAAAACCGCACCAGAGCATCAATGAAAATAAATTGTTACCTTGGAGACTAAAATTGAAAGTGATTGTGAGAAAATACTACAGCAGTCTGAAGAATATTCTAAATTAAATGACCTGTAGAGTTAACCAGGTGAGCTCTTAGAAAAGAAAATGGACAAGTCTATAAACAAGAAAAATAAATGCTGGATTTTGATTTGAACAGCAGAATCCACAGTAATATGTTGTTGGAAACGTTTTCACAGCTTGGCAGAGACAGAAATCAGCTCTTTACTTCCCTCAACCCTGTATTCAAAAGTTGAATTCAGGAGAAATCTAAGAGATACGTGCATTCCTTGCTGCTAAAGAGTGTGGCTCAATTGAAGTAGAAGTATATAGTTTCATTTCAGTGTGGGAACAACATGGTTTAAGAAGCCGCCAATGTTTTATCACAGATGGTTGTTACCAGGGGCAGATCTAAGAGTGGTGCAATGGCATGGATGCATCCCTACTTTGGCTGTGCTCTACAAATGCAGTACACTCTCAGAGCTCACCATCACTTCAGCACAGCTCCTTCTCATGGCTCTGCATGTGCTGCAAGCACTATGAGCTCACCACTGATGGGTGCAGGCTCTTCAAAGAACCCTGCTACCAAGCACCTCTGGATCCTGATGCTTGGTGGCTCCAAAGCACCACTAAATCAGGGACTCTGGGAAGAGTCCAGATTGCTGAGCTCAGCAGCTGCTGAGAGTTCACTGGGATCCAGGATCACAGCAGTGGGCTATGGCTACATCATCTGCTTAATGAGCTTTCTTCACTGCACATGTACCCCACCCCAAAAGGGTATGTGCCCGCATTCTCATTGCCACAATCCTGGACTCACCCACAGTTGTCACTGAATTAACATATATGTGAGAGGCACATAAATCTACATATTTCAAAACTGCATTTTATTACATAAATTACCGTCTTTTTATTTTGTGTCCTCTCCACACACTATTTTGTACGAATCATCTTGGGCTCCTCCTCTCTTTCCCCTCTTTGAAAATGGCATTGCCACTAGGGTTTCCATTTTCACACCACACAGTGATACCTATTCTGATAGGCTAGTGCTTAGTTGTGGGAAACTTTCACCTAATCAAGTATGTATTCTGGGTTTTGAGTCCTGTAAAATAAATATTGACAGCATGTATAACATTTCTGGCTCATTTTTGCTAATTATTACCTAAAAGAGGGCTGTCCAATTTGCAGCCCACAGGCTGAAGTGTTAACTGGCTGCTTCTCCCTCCACTGTTCATTCTGCTGCTGCCAGAGTCTCTGGACTCCCCTCTCTTCCTCCAGTTTCTGCTTCCTGCCCTTGCCCCTGAGGACAGGAGGAGCCTGGGGAATCCATGTAATCTGTGCATCCAGGGAGTCCAGGTGCTGGGTTGGGCAGGCAGAGAGGGGCTGGGAATCAGCACAGCCCACACAGTGGGCTGGAAGTGGGGACGTCCAAGGGAATCCATGCAGCCTGAATGGTGTGTGACCCAGGGGGCCTGCAGCTCTTCAGATTTTGGACAGCCTTGATTTAAAAAAATACAGACAAAGCGCATGAGCCTTCCTCTCACCCAACAGTATGGAAGACAGGTTGTGAAGGAAGAGTGAAGCTAACAGCAGGTAAACTTGTTTCGGAGCACCATAACCTTTTGCTTAAGGAAACGGCTTCCACTTAGCACAAATGCCAATAAATCAAGACAGCTGATAGCTGTTATACTTAAGGTGATTTCATTGTACTTCAGTAATTGATTATTCTCATTCATATGCTGAATGTAGTAGATTCTAAAAAGATGATATGGAAGGAAACAAATGATTATGACAGTTAGGAAAATCAAGCTTTTTATCTGAGCCCAGAATTCTTGATGTGAGCAGATAGAGCCTGAAAGCCTTTTCACCACCCTGAGAATGATGAAGATTTGCAAGGCCAAGAGGATACAAGTGATGCAGAATACACTTATGATCATGATGTAGTTCAGTATTTTCACACTGTCTTGCTTTAGTTCTTCTTGGAAATTAAAACATGTGGTATTATTATATGTTCCAGAGGTCCCATATTGAAAACAAAACACAGGCACCACAATGAGAGAGACTACAGTCCACACGGCAGCACTGGCCCCCACTGCATGAAGCTTCCTGTAGAACTCCACCTTGTCCTTCCACTGGAAGAAGATGAGCCACCTAATAACCAGGGTGACAATGTAGAACAGAAAAGTCAGGTACATGTGGATGTGAAGTGTAGCGCTCACTGCTTTGCAAAAGGGCAGTCCAAAAACCCACTGCCCATTAATATAGTAATGAAGCCGAAATGGCACCGTTAGGAGGAGGAGGCTGTGCACCACGACCAGGTTCACGATTGCAGTGGTGGTCACTGACAGAGTGTTCATTTTAACTAGAAAAAATGACATTGCAAGGACTCCAGTCACACCTCCAATAAAGGCTACTGAATACACTGTAGTCAGTATGGTCTGTGCAATTTCATGCTGAGTGGTATTGGACGCTGGTGCCTCCCCAGTCATGTTCATGAAATCTCTCTCTTGCACTCTTAAGAAAATAGAGAGAGAAAAAAAAATCAGTGTGATTAAATACTAAATCTGGACTTGTCCACAACCACATTCTGGCTCCAGTGGTACAAACATAATCCTAGTGGGTCTGGGTTTATTTTATTCTTGGGATGGAATTGATTGTATCTATTATGGAAATATTCTGAAGGATGAGGAAAGAACAGCTCTAAAACCTGAATTTACAGCTCTCTCAGGGGTGGAAAAGATAGGGGGAATTTTTTCAACTTATTAAAATAGTACCATGCTACCAGGCATAAAACTAAAAACAGTTATGAAG